GCAGGGATGGAGCCAGCAATCGGAGGGGCCTGGGGGCCCCCTGCCCAGGCCTGATGCCTGGGCCAGAGGCATCAGGCCTGGGTGGGGGGCGGAGCCGGGGATTGGGGGGGATATGATGGTCCCCTTGCCCAGGCCTGAAGCATGGGTCAGAAGCGTCAGGCTTGGGCGGGGGGGTGGAGCAAGCGATCAGAGGGAGATGGGGGTCCCCTGCCCAGGCATGATTCCTGGGCCAGAGGCATCAGGCCTGGGCGGGGGTCAGAGCCAGTGATCGGGGGGAGATGGGGGTCTCCTGTCCAAGTCTGACACCTCTGGCTGAGGCGTCAGGCCTGGGCAAGGGGCTGATCAGGCGATTGGAGGGTGATGGGGGTCGACGCCTCTGGCTGAGGCATCAGGCCTGGGCAAGGGTGGAGCCGGTGATGGGGGGGAGAGGGGGGTCCCCTGCCCAGGCCTGAATCCTGGGCCAGAGGCATCAGGCCTGGGCTGGGGGAAGAACCAGTGATGGGGGGAAATGAGGGTCCCCTACCCAGGCCTGACACATCTGGCAGAGGAGTCAGGCCTGGGCAAGGGACCGATCCTGCGATTGGAGGGTGATGGGGGTCAACACATGAGGGCTCCCAGTATGTGAGAGGGGGCAGGCTGGGCTGAGAGACACTCCCCCACCACACACACACAGTGCATGAATTTCGTGCACCGGGCCGCTAGTTAAAATATAAAAAATAAAAAATCCCAGCAAACAAAAGTGCTGGTTCAGATGGCTTTACAGGTGAGTTTAACTAAACATTCAAAGAACTAACACCTATCCTCAAACTATTCCCAAAAATTCAAGCGGAATGAACATTTCCAAGCTCTTTCTATAAGGCCAGCATTACCTTAATTCCAAACCCAGATAAAGACACTACAAAGAAAGAGACTTATAGGCCAATATCCGTGATGAATTTATTTGCTAAATTCCTCAAAACATATTAGCAAATCAGATCCAGCAATACGTTAAAACTATCATACACCATGACCAATGGGATTTAGTCTGGGGTTGCAAGGCTGGCACAATAGTCACAATTCAGTAAATGTGATATCTCATATAAACAGATGGCAGGACAAAAATCACATGAAAATATCGATTGCTGCAGAAAGAGCATTTGACAAAATACAACACCCTTTTTTGATTAAAAAAAAAAAACTCTCAGCAAAGTGGGAATGGAGGGATCATACCTCAAAATAATAAAAGCCATATATGACATACAGCCAACATCATACTAAATGGGCAAAAACTAAAAAATTTCCACTAAGACCAGGAATAAATTGAGGATTACCATTTTCACCACTCTTGTTCAACATAGTACTGAAAGTCCTAGCCATAGCAATCAGACAAGAAGAAAAAATAAAAAAGTAACCAAATTTGAAAAGATTATATAAAACTCGCATTATTTGACGATGACATGATATTGTACATAGAAACCATAAATACTCCACCAAAAAACTACTAGATATAAAAAATCAATTCAGCCACAAAGCAGTTTACAAAATTAACACCCAGAAATATATGGCATTTTTATATACCAACAATGAATTCTCAGAAAGAGAAACTAAGAAAACAATCATATCTACCATTATAACAAAACAAAAAAAATTAGGTACTTAGGAATAAACCTTACCAAGCAGATTAAAGATCTGCAATTGGAAAACTGTAGAATGTTCAAAAAAGTAATAGAAGAAGGTTTAAACAAGTGGAAAAATACACAGTGTTCATGGATTGGTAGAATCAATATCATTAAAATGTCCATACTACCCAAAGCAATCTATAGCTTCATTGCAATCCCTATTAAAATACCAATGGCATATTTCACAGATCTAAAGTCTTCAAAACTTTATATGGAATAAAAAAAGACCTCGAATATCCACAGTAATCTTGAAAATGTAGACCAAAGTTGGAAAAAGAACACTATCAGATATGAAGTTATACTACAAAGCCACTGTACTCAAAACATCCTGGTACTGGCAAAAAACAGCAGCAACAACAACAACGACAACAACAAAAAGACCCACACACAAAAAACAGGCATATAGATCAATGGAGTAGAACAGAGAACCCAGACATTGACCCAAGCCATTATGTTCAATTAATATTTGACAAAGGAGGCAAGAACATACAATGCAGTAAAGACAGACTCTTTAATAATTGGTGTTTGGAAAATTGAAGGAAATGAAAGAAAGAAAGAAAGAAAGAAAGAAAGAAAGAAAGAAAGAAAGAAAGAAAGAAAGAAAGAAGAAGGAAGGAAGGAAGGAAGGAAGGAAGGAAGGAAGGAAGGAAGGAAGGAAGGAAGAAAGAAAGAAAGAAAGAAAGAAAGAAAGAAAGAAAGAAAGAAAGAAAGAAGAAAGAAAGAAAGAGGAGGGAGGGAGGGAGGGAGGGAGGGAGGAAGGAAGGAAGAAAGAAACTAGTCCACCAACTTACACCATACACAAGAATAAACTCAAAATAGATAAAATACTTAAAGTAAATTATGAAACCATAACAATCTTAGGAGAAACCATAGGCAGCAAAATCTCAGACATCTCACGTAGCAATATGTTTGCCAATACATTCCCTAGGGCAAATGAAACTAAGGACAAAATAAATAAATTGGGACTACATCAAAATAAAAAGTTTCTGCACAGCAAAAGAAACCATCAATAAAGTGAAAAGAGAGCCCACTGAATAGGAGAATATATTTGACAATCATACATTCAATAAGGGTTAATTTCCAAAATATGTAGGGAACTCATACAGCTTGACAAAAGGAAAACAAACAATCCAACTTAAAAAAGGACAAAGGGCCTACATAGATGTTTCTCCAAACTGAACATACAGAAGGCCAAGAGATATACAAAAAATGCTCAGTCACTAATCATCAGTGGGATGCAAATTAAATTGACAATGAGTTATCACCTCACACCTGTCAGAATGGCTATCATCAACAAATCAATAACCGAAAAGTGTTAAAGAGGATGTGGAGAAAAGGGAACCCCAGTACAGTGCTGGTGGGAATGCAGACTGATGTAGCCACTGTGGAAAACAGTATGGAGTTACCTCAAAAAGTTAAAAATGGAATTCCTATTTTACCCAGTGATCCCACTCCTAGCAATATATCCTAAGAATTCAGAAACACCAATCAGAAAGAATATATGCATCCCTAAGGTTCATAGCCATGCAATTTATAATAACTAAGATTTCTAAACAGCCCAAGTGCCCATCAGCAGATCAGTGGATAAAAAAGCTGTGGTACATTTACACAATGAAATACTATGCACCTGTAAGAAATGAATATCTCTTACCATTGGCAACAGCATCAATGGTCATGGAGTGTATTATGCTGCAACGAAATGGTAAAACATCTAATGTTATATGCTAAGGAGTTTAGTATTTGTTTTATGGATTTAAAAGTAGATGAGTATACTGAGTAATAAGAAAAAAAGAAAAATAGATTGTTATGGATTATAAGAGAGGCATTTGTTCAGTAATGTGTGATCTACAATCTCTAATCATGGAGAACAGCAAGAATTTTAAGGTATTTGATGGTTTAGAAGTCATTGGTGACCTTTGAAAAGGCAGACTTACAAATTGATGGAGACAAAACAAAAGAAGCAAATTATATTTTCTGTTCTGGCCAAAATAGAGTAACAGGGATCAGATATATGCCCTGGAACACCTGGAAAAATAATGAAATAAAATAAGATAAAATAATGAAAGACACTGGACATCAGGAAGCAGAGACTGATCCCTGACAGATAGTAAATAAAGGAAGTGAATCCTATGATGGCTCCAAATTCCTAGAGTTTCTAGGCCACAGCTCAGAGAGGCAGAACCCAAGCAAAGACCAGCAGTCTCGCTACTAGTATGTAGAGGAGATGGAACTAAGACACTGTAGAGAACAAGGTGGGTAGAGATCTCAAGGCAGACAACCAGAGAGTAAAATGAGAGAAAGAGAGGGAACTACAGAACCTTGCCCCCCACACGAATGATTCCGCTGATTACTGATCAGCTCGTGTGTGAATACATTATTAGAAGCCAGGAAAGAAACCACTGGAAAGGATTCTTGATAACTGATACTCACACAGGGCCTGCAATAGCGACCTTTACTGTCAGCCAGACTAGAAAACCAGAAGCACAGGCATTGAATACTTTACGTGGAAGGGTCTTGCTGCAGAAGTGAGGAACAGTTAACCATACAACATGGTAGAACAGCCTTTAGGCATGTACTATCACAGGGAACTGCTCTGCTTATTTCAGTAAAATTTTAAAAAGGACACAAAGAATCAAACTCTTTCCAAGCAACATAACAGTATCCAAAAAAGGCAAATACAATTTTTAAAAAGAAAATCAATGGTGAACAACACATGGGTTTTAAATTCGGACAGGTTCAGTAGGAGTACTCATCTATCCTTTGCCCTCAGACTTTAATATGGCACTGTTTTTCAGATTATGTCAAAAATGTTACCTTAAAAGATTACTGATCTTGATTTCTGAGGGGGATTTTGGGAGCCACATTAAGTTGTATACCCAATGCCTCACTCACCTCACCCATATTTGGGCAAATATCAAAACCTGAGGGCTGTGAGTACAGTACATAAGAAAAAACAAACCTCTCAGAAGAACCCGCCTTTCAATTCCTAGCTATAATTTATCCAGGAGAAATGAAAGTACTTGTATGAAGATGTGAATAAGTGAAATATTCATGGCCACTTGATTTACAAACAGCCTCAGACTGGAATCAATCCAAAAGTCCATCAAAAGATGAATGGGCAGCTGACCTGTGGTGTGCCCATACACGGGAATAGTTCTCTACCACAAGCAAGAATGCAACCTTGCGGGCCATCCCTGGACAATGCAGGCTGTGCAGGGGCGCGTGCTGACCCGCCTCAGGAAAGAATAAGAATGCTGCCACGCCTGGCAATGGTCTCCTAGCAACTGGGCGGCTGGGACAACAAACCCCTGAGGCCCCTGGGCGCCCTGGGCCAAGGACGCCATGGCGGGCCAGCAGTGGCCCTTACCGGAGCCCCACGAGGGGTGGCTGTTAAAGTCGGACCTGAGGAAGAAGGCGCTCATAGAGTCGGGGCTGATCAAGCGGTGGCAGTCAGGGCCGAAGCTGGACAAGAAGCCAGAGCCCAGAAAGAAGTGGATGCCTGGGCCCAGGCCACTGGAGCCCTTGCCCCTGGGCGTGAAATGTAAGCCCTCGTTCAAGGACAGGGACAGGTTACCTTCCCGCTATCTCTCCAGGCAGAACAAGCTTGGGAAGTGCCCCACCTCCACGGGCAGCCGGAGGTGGGTATTTGTGGAGGAGGGAGTGGACGACTTCAGAACGGGCTGTCCATCTCCTGAAGATGTGATCACTCCTGGCCCTCGGGAAGGCTTTCTCCCCATGATTGCTCATAGAATTCCCCGCCCTCCGCCCAAAAAGACTCACAGGCAGCCGCCCAAGGGAGCGGACCTGTGTTCCACGCTCTTGGCAGCCCAGCCAGCACCGAAGGCCTTTGTAGAGAACACTGAAGCCAGCCTGACCCAGCATCCCTTGGCAACCTACCTGAAACTGGAGAAAGATCTCCCTCCAGACCTCCTGCTCAAGGTCCTGGAAGTGCTAGATCCTGACAGGGAGCTGGAGGACACGTGGGCGTATTGTGAGGGCACCAAGGAAAGAAAGAAGACACCCACACACCTGTGTGAAGAACATCCTGAGGAGGTCAACCTGGAGCCTCCCCAGGAGGTCAACCTAGAACCTGCAGAGAAAGCCCACCTGGAATCCACCAAGGAGAGTTTCCAGTCAAATTTAAGCAGTTTGTTTCCTGAGGAAGAGACAAAAGCATCATGCATGATGGAAATCCGCAAACTTCCTGTTTACCAAAAACAAAGAAGAGCATCAGTTATTAAATTCTGCAGATTGATGAATGAGAATTTTGAAAACATAGATATTGATGAAGAGGACATCATGAAAAAGTTTGAAATTAACCTTGAGGTCCCACTGACCGATAATACAGCCAAAATAAAGGAAACAAGCCAGCTTCCTTTGAATATCAGGCCCTCCAAACAGCTAGATGAAATGAAGCAGAGAAAATTCTCCATGCAGGAAGGTAACTGGGAAAGGAAACTCCGAAAACCAGAAGACCCTTATAAACCCAAACGGGAGAAGATAAAGTATGGAGCATGGTACCTGGACCCCAAATGCTGGAAAAAGCTGGCCAATGACCAGCCTTTGCTCGACCCTAAACTTGTCCGTGCCAAGGAATATTGGAGCAATGGAAAGCATCTTGAACCAGACATTTTTGATGAACTTTATGGACCAATTGCTTTCAAAGATTTCATTGTAAGCAAGGGCTACAAGATGCCAGGTGTGATTGAGAAGATGTTTATGAGGAAGGGGTGGAAATATGAGTCTGTGACGACTCCTATACACCGAGTAATGAAACTCCTCTCCAAACCCAAAGAGGAGGATTCAGAGGAAGAAGAGGATTAGACAATTTTCTATTTACTACTCACTTGGCTAGTGTCTCTCTCTCATTTTAACATCAGTCAGAATTCACCATGAGTGCCTCACTGTGTATAGACAACTTTTATTCCACAACATCTGTAAATTTGACACCTAGTGCAAATAAAAATTTCTAAATCAGCTTCTGCTTGGGTTCATCAATATTTTATGTATTTATTTTACCAACTATGAAGGCAATATTTTTACATATATTCCTCTCGGTTTTTATTGCATTAGTAGTATTCTATTTTTATTTCAATTATTCATTTAAAAAAACATAAATAAAAGAATTACTTAAAAAGGATCCTGTTGCCCAGCCGATGTGGCTCAGTGACTGAGCATTGACCTATGAACCAGGAGGTCATGGTTTGATTCTGGTCAGGGCACTTGCCTGGCTTGCAGGCATGATCCCCAGTGAGGGGAGTGGGCATGCAGGATGCAGCCGATTAATGATTCTCTGTCATCATTGATATTTTTCTCTCTTCCTCTCCCTCTCTGAAAATCAGGAAAAACATATTTTTAAAAAATTATGCCAGCTAAAGCATGGGATGAATCCCAAAATAATCCTGCAAAACGAAAGAACTATCACTCTGGTAATATTCAATTTCTAATGCATTATGACAATTATTTTTTAAGCAAAACTTGTAACCCACAGCCGAAGTAATTTTTTGTATTGTTTGTGAATTGTCTATGGCTACAGTTGCACCACAACATGAGAATTTAGGAATTGCCATTGAGATCATATGGCCTAGAAGCCTAGCATATTTCCTATCTGAATTTTTACTTTAAAATTTACTGCCCCGCTGATCTGGAAGAAAAATATATTCATACATATATTACATCAATGATGCCACACTTTAGCTGAAGGAAAGATAATACACACTCATCTATGGAATAGAATGAAGTAAAATATTTTTATAAAATTAACTATTTAGTTAGACCTTTTGGAACATTTTTCAAATCTGCTTTTAATTTTAATATTCTTAGGAACAAAAATCCCTGAGGCATATCATCATATCTGATAGTCCCTGTTTCTTGTAATTTCTTTTCATGTGATGACTTGTCATACAGAGATTTCCCATGACTCCAAAAATATGGGTGCTAAATGTGAGGTAGGGCAGCCTGAACATGATACAGACAGAATAACTTTCTTCCCACTGAAATGGCTAATTAATTCAAAGGAATGTCCACAAAGGTGGGTTGGCCAGGAAACATGGTTTGTATGTCATATATATATATTCCACCCCTACACCCACCCCCCATGGGACCAAATGAAGTTTATTTAGGGTATTGTGCTCAGGAGTGGACCCTGCACCTCCATGGAGGGATTTCCTGGGATATTCTTCTGCTTTCCCAGACTACCCAGGGCACAAGACAATGTTTCCCTTGGTACCTGGGGTTGCTGCTTGCTCTCTACAGCCCAGGACACCAGCAGGGCACTGCTCCTTGCAATGCCTCCCAGCCAATCAAGTGTCAGGACAAAGCTTTCTACAAAGGACACCCATTCCCCTCAGCTGCCACAGGGTGGGGGCACAGTGCCTGTGCTCAGGGCCAGTCCCTGGAAGCAGCATGGGGAGGTTCAGGAAAGGGCAGAAGTTCCAGGAGAACACATGAGGTCTGGATTTCAGGAAGTGAGCTGGAAAGTTTCTCCCACAGACTCAACTTAATAAAAGGGGCGACCTGGGGCCAATACTCAGTGTGAAAAGCAGCTTTCAAGCTGGGAGATCTCTCAGTCAAAAGCACATCCAGCATTTCTGGTTTTTTTTTGTTTTTTTTGGGGGGGGGGTGGATGGGCTGAAATAGGCCTGTGACCATTAAACTTCCTGAAATGAACACCTAAACTACAGGCTCTCTAACCATCAGGCTTTAAGGGTCTATGTGGGGTGAGATGATTTCAAATGGAAGTCCTCCTATAGGCCGAGCAGGCAGCTCAAAGGGTTTCTTTGGAAAGGATGACACAGGGAGAAACAGTACGGACAGACACACAGAGTTACAGACACCAGGAACGGGAAGCCATGTGACAGAGCCTCTGGGTAAATTATGGTTCTTTCTGTGCAGATATAAAATGGGCGCTATTGAAAGTCATAGGACAGCTCTGGGTGGGTCGGGATCAAGAACTCTTTGACTATCTCCTCCCTGGCCTCCTTGCACCTGGCCTGGTGCTCCACAAGGCAGGGCTGCAGGACCTGCAGGAGCTCCTTCTTGAGCTCCCAGGTGAGCATGGCTCCACTGCTGTAATCCTTCCTGATCTGCTCCAGCTTGTCTTCATCCTCAAGGAAGAAGGTCATGTACATGAAGGACATGTCCACCTGGCAGTTTTCCTAAAACTGCCTGTGCTCCTGGATGGTGTCTCTCCCTCCAGAAAATGCATGCTTGTTGACCTTGGTCTTGATCTGCTTGGTTGAGTCTGTGAGGAGGATGGGGGAGTTGGGGTCACTGGCACTCCTTTGGGTCTGAGTCCCCTGCAGGGTGGGGAAGAATGTTGAGTGTTGCAGGCTGGTTTAGGATAGCAGATCCTGGGAGTGATATCTCTTGTCATCCTGAAGTAAGGATCCTGGTTGATGGCACAGGGGATGAGGCCCTGGAAGTCCATCTCTGCCCCGAAGATCTCTCGGAATTGAGTTGCTGCAGGAGGGAGCAGCCTGGATGGCAGGAAAGCTGATCTTCCCCTTGCAGTCACTGCCGGCGAAGCCAAAAATGCCTTCATTTGGTTGAAGTTCACATGATTCCGAATCTTCACCATGTTCTTGTAGAAGTCTGGTCTCAACGACATGTAGTTGAGGTCAGAGAAGATGGGCTTGTTGATGTGAAAGCCTCAGGTGATGATGTCCTTGGCGTTTTCCACGGAGTAGCCATAGGCCTGGTCCAGGGTCAGGTCTTCCACAGGTACTTCTAGTCATCTACCATCTGGATGAGCAAGAGCACATTCAACATGTCCTGCAGCCACTTTGTGAAAATGAACTGGATGTGGTGGCCTACATGCATGGCTTCGGAAGAGGGGCCCCTGCCCACATACAGGCGAAACAGCTTCTTGTTTTCATAGGCAACGAGGACTTGGTTCATGTCTCTGTGTGAGAAGAATGTGCATTTGTGCAGAAAGCAGTGCGGTCTCTGGCCCCTGGCTCTCTCTATTCTGTTTATCAGCTCTTGGTCAATGTCACTGCTTCCAAACAGAACAATGAGCTTGGCATAGTCATTGCCGTTTGCACTGTTCCTCTGTACAGTTCAGGGGTCCACAAAATCCACTTCACCTTCCATGTCACCTGGGCAACTAACCCAGGTACAAGGCTCTCTGGAAGGCAGTCGGCCTTGTAGTTCTCCCCGGTTGTCACTTTGTAGCTCATTTTTAGCAATACCAGCCTCTTCACTGCAGAATCAATTTCATCCTGGGCTGCGGGGGGCACTGAAGAGGTGGCCAGTGGAGTAGCTGAGATCTCTGTGCAGCTGGGCTCTTCTTTTATAGTCTTCCCCCTCTTACTGTTTCCTTTTTTAAGCCCCTTTCTTCTCTTTTCTTCCTGTTCACCCCACCCTGCAGCTATTTGCAGTAAGGATTTCTTAGAAATCAACCAGTTTCTCACAAACACTTGAGCCTCTTGACCAATTCCTCATGAGACAGTCCAATCAGGAGTTGGCTGTGAGTGTGTTGTTTGGGGGAGGCTGGGTGCAGAGACCAATGAAACCCACTCTAAATCCAAACTATTAGCTGGTCATTGCATCATTTGCTGGTCATTAGCCACCCTACACTGCAAGCTGGCCTCCATTTAACCGACCCACTCACTTCCCATCTCACTTCTTCAGCCTCAGTATGAGAACTGAGTTTACATGTGGTCCTGATGGGAGGAAAGGCAGACCTGTAAGTGCCCTGCGGCTATTGTGCACTAAGGCAATGTTGTGAAAGTTCAGTTCTGGCTCACAGGGACTTGAATTTCCAAATACAGCTTTGGCTTTTTTAAAAAAATATTTTTATTCATTTCAGAGAGGAAAGGAGATGGAGTGAGATGAAAACTTCAATGATGAGAATTATTGATCATGTGCCTCCTGCACACCCCCTACTAGGGATTGAGCCCATAACCTGGGCATGTGCCCTTGATCAGAACCAATTTGGGACCCTTCAATCTGCAGGTCAATGCTCAATCCACTGAGCCAAACCGGTTAAAGCTGGCTTTTTTCTTTACTTTTTATTGCTGAAAGTATTATACATGTCCCTTTTTTTACCCCTATTGCCCTCTCCCAGCTCCTTACCCCCAAGGCCTTCACCACCCCACTGTCTGTGTCCATGGATTATGCATATATGCACATGAGTTCAGTGGTTGAATTCTTCCACCCTCCCTCCACCCTCTTCTGCTTTCCCTCTTAGGGTTGCCAGTGTGTTCCATGTCTCCATGTCTCTAGGTCTATTTTTTCATCACTTTATGTTCTTAGTTATTTTTCACATATGAGTGATATAATATGATATTGATCTTTCTCCCACTGGCTTATGCAAATTACCCACCATCTTTGTTGGGTTGATTTTCATACTCATCCTGATTGGCTGGGGGGCATAGCAGAGTGACACCAATTTGCATGTTTCTCTTTTATTAGTGTAAATATAAAAACCAAGTGCCTGAAACGACCAGTCTCTATGACATGCACTGTGGCTGGCCAACCGGCCATATCAGGGTGGTGCTGTCCAGTCAACCTCTCAAGTTCCCTCCCCTGGGCTGGCCCAGGGTCAATTAGCCTGATTGCATGAGTACATGCACCAGGACTCTAGTGTATATATATAATTAAGAACAATGTCAAAAAGTTTACTGCCTATCTTTCTTCTAGGAGTTTTATGGTTTTGCATCTTATATTTAACTCTTTAATCAGTTTTGAGTTTATTCTGATATATAGTGTAAGAAAATGGTCTAGTATCATTTTTGCATGTATTTGTCCAGTTTTCCCAACACCATTTATTGACTAGAGTGATGGCGAACCTATGACACGCGTGTCAGAGGTGACAGGCG